CCATAAGAACCCCTTTTCGAAAACCTTGCTTTTATTAGAGGATAATTCAATTGTCAAACACCTCGGAAGCAATGAACACAGTTTAAAACAAATACGCGAGTCTAAACCATCTTTTCGCGACCGCTCGCATAAACGTTTCGAGACGTCCCCAGGACGTCGGAAATGGACGGCGGCGACAATGGTGATAACTGCAGGGTTCATGATACAGGAGAGACAGCTGTTGTTGTCTCAATAGTTGATAGAGCAAAATTGGTTCCAGCAAAAAGGAAAGTCTATTATCTTTTGATATTGGTGGGGATCAAATGAATGATCACCAAACTGGAAGATTTGCAGCTTAATCAGGGGAATTGGGATGACTAATCTACATCATCATCTTTATCTTCTCGCTTATTTCTATCTTTATATTTTTTGCTTGGACTGTAATATTACCGGTGTTATACCAGGTACATTTGCCTTAACCTTGATTGATATGATTTAGGGTCTAATTGAGATTAAACTGGCATAGATAGAAGTAGATCATAGATCCCTAAGAATCTAAAATCTGATATTGTTAAATCTGTTAGTAAAAAGACAATCAATATAGTTGATAGTAATCTAGACAATCAGTTCACAACATATCCAATAGATTACATATAAAAGATTAGCATCAGATATATCATGGTTTTCAAAATCTGATTGTTTTAGTCAATAAAAACACCTTTTAATCGGTTAAATAAACTTAAACAACAGTTTTCATTACTGTTTTAATCAATTTAAAATCGAAATAAACGATTATTTTCACTAAAATCTCATGTTTTCAAAATCTTAAATGTTTTAATCGATTAAAACTTTCTTTCAATCGATTAAAATCATTTACCAAAAACATGTTAACCGATTATGCTCTGTTTTTAATTGATTTTTATTCTGGAAAAGGAAAATTGAAGGCTTTAGTTAATGGCTGTTTTTGTAAACATGCTACTAAAGCGTGATTCCCTTATCTTTACACGTGTTAATTGTATTCATTACAAACGTGTTAATGGAGATAAGTTTGAATCAACTTTAATTGATTCTTTTCATGAGTAAAATATTGATTTCTTTTTTATTTTCAAAAACTTGAGCACATTTCAAATCTTACATTTTTTATTTCCCTTCTATACCCTATTTTTGATGAAGTCAAAAGGGGGAGAAATAGTTGCATTACTTTAAGATAAATTTAAAAGCAACATTTTAGGGGGAGAAATAAGTTTTAGGGGGAGAAATAGAACATTAAATACATTTTTATATTTCTCACTTAATCGCATTATCAAGTGACTTCTTTTGCGAGTTTGTTTTTTCAAAATGGTGTTTGTCTTCATCAAATAGGGGAGACCGAAAGTGATCCTAGCAAAGATCTCATTGATTTGATGAAGTCAAAGATAAAGTCAAAGGTCAACTCTGCAGCTAGTCAACAAGTCACCCAGATAATTGAGTCTGAAGATTTAGTATGTCTTAACGAAAGTTTAGGTAAAACCATTTTACCTTTTCTACCGCATGAAGCTCCTTCACTCATTTTGCAAAATGCCTCAAAAATAGTCTTAAACAAATAAAAAACAAAAGCATTTTGACAAGAACTTTCTTAACAATGTTTTTTAACTGATATAGTTTTAAAAGAAACGATTAAAATCACTTAGAATGTTTAAAGAAGTGTTTTTACAGTATTTTAATCGATACAAACTTCTTTTAATCGATTAAAACCCTTTAAAACTCTTTATGACCGATTAGAATTCAAATATGACCGGTCAGAATGAAATAAGATCGATCAGATTTGAATTATGAGCGATCAGAATTCTTTTAATCGATTAAAACACGTTTCAATCGATTAAAACCACTTTGAAGTCAGGATGATCGATCAGAATGAAATTATGACTGATCGAGTTGGTTATGATCGATCGAATTGAATTATGACCGATCATACTTATTTCAATCGATTAAAACGAATTTCAATCGATTAAAATGACTTGAAAAATTTTGTACAGAGTTTCAATCGATTAAAACGCATTTCAATCGATTAAAATAACTTGGAAAATTTTTGTACGAGTTTCAATCGATTAAAACGTATTTCAACTGATTAAAACAACTTAGAAAAATTCTGTGCAGGTTTTTAATCGATTAAAACTTCTTTGTATCAGCTTAAAATAACTTGAAAAGTTTTATAAGAAAGTTTTAAAGTAAATCAATCGATTAAAACGCGAATCAATCGATTGAATCACACTTAGAAAATGTTTGTAAAATGTTTTAACTGATATAAACATGGTTGTATCAACTAAAACAATTCTCGTTAAAGAAACAAGAACGCATTAATGGGTTGAAAGGACTTTTAATAGATTATAACGGCTATTTCAACAGATTAAAACAAACTTTCAACAGATTAATTAATGCAGCAGATTTGAAAATTCTCTTTAAAAACAGTTTTGCTTGAAATTTTTAAACGGAGATTGTACATCAGTTTTTCATACATCCTTAAGCAATCAATCAAGCAACTTTAGCACTTTTTCAAGAAAGATTCGCAACAGCTTTTTTGAAGTTATTTTGAAAATCTTTCTTGAGGCAACTTGCATACTTTGAAGAAGAAACTCTCTGCAGATTTGGATAAACTGGTTTGAGCTTTCTAGTTTCTTCTTTGTAAATTCTTTTTCATTACTTTGTATTGTGTTGTGCCTGGAATTTGGGCACAAGTTTCTCTCGAACTCGGAAGTTGGTTGTAGAGGTTATCAAGAACTGGAATTTGGTTCTTGGTGGAGAGGTTAGGTGTTGGTGCCTGGAATTTGGGCACTCGGTTTCTCTCAGTACTGGAATTTGGTTGTAGAGGTTATCAAGAGCTGGAATTTGGTTCTTGGTGGAGAGGTTAAGTGCGAGGAACTGGAATTTGGTTCTTGTGATAGATTAGGTGTAAGATTGTTGAATCTGTAAAACATTTAATCTAGTGGAACCCAGCTGGAATTTGGTCGGAGACTGGACGTAGCCCTGGTATTGGGTGAACCAGTATAAAATACCGGTGATATCTTCCTTAGCCTTTCTCTCATTTAAATTCAGTTGCTGCGCTTATTTTGATTGATTGCTTTGCGATTCAAAAATAGATTAGTAAACTTAATTTTCGAATTAGATAATCTGTGAATTGCGAAAAACTTTCAAAGATCAATTCATCCCCCTCTTGATCTAAAACTACTTTTCTAACATTTACTTATTAATGAGTCTCTCAAAATTGTAAGTTAAGACTTAGGATTTGATTTTTGAAATTCTAGTATTTGTTGTTTCCCTTGACATGTTTCAACAACAAATTAAAAATAACAATAAATTTATACCTCACATGTTTACTTTCCACACTCATATTCACATAATAAAACTTTTATTAAAATGATCATAATATTTTTTTACCACTAATTCTTCACCTAAGTTCTTATAATAATCAAACAATCTATAATCAAAAGTCACTTTTAAGATTAATGATCATAATACTTAAAACAAATTTTAGCATCAACAAAAGAAAAATAGTGAATAAGAATTTCACTACTAACAAACAAGTAAAACAAACAAAAATGAATAAGAAAACAAAAATTAGAAAAGACATTTTGAAATTTTAACAAATAACTGAATTACATCAAATATAAAGATGGATAACTAAGTTTTTTAACTTCTTTCTCTTTTTTTATATAATTCAAATTCAAAATTTTATAACTATATTTTTTTTACTTATTAAAATATATTTTCGCAAATGAAATATTATAAACTCCAGGTAATATGTAATGAACAATAATAATAAGGAAAAGAATATTATATACATATATATATATATATATATATATATATATATATATATATATTAATGAACATTAGCCATTGAATAAACAAGAAATATGAATAGTTACTATAAATCGTGAACAGTAATAAATAATAACAATGAAAAGTGTATACACTAGATACTTGCCTGAATATCAAATTATGTTTTTAAAGAGAAATGTAATAAAAATTTGAAATTTAGGGATTAGGGATGGAAAGCAACAAAAATTGAAAGTAAAATAAACAAACCTAGTAAATAAAGATCCAGCAAACTATATTTGATAAATTTAAGAAAAATCATGAATTCTTAATAAAATGAATATGTAAAGAATAATCTTTAAAAAAAAGGATATTATGATTTTGTCAAAAAATGTTTACTTTTTTAACTCAAAAATCTTAAAATTTAAGATTTTATTTTGTTTATAATTAAATAAAAAAAATCATTGCAACCAAATTTAAATTGTACCAATAGTTAAATAAGCACATTCTGAATTTGTGCTTTTATTTATTTAATTTTAATTCTCTAAGCATATTACTATACGTGTAATTATTTAACCTCAGCATATTAGACCTCCAACAAATAAGTCACCTTGTATCATAAGGTGTCAAGCATTTATATGTCTTCATCTTTAATTTGGACTTTGATTTCCAGATGCTCCCTCACTTTCCATCCTCTTCATCAATAATTTGAAGTTATCGTGCATTCAATTTATCACTGTTCAAAAGACTGAAATTCTTTCTTAATATTTCTAATTTATACAATGGCAGGCAGTAAATTCTGGTTGCATCAAGCTGCAATAATATTTGCATATTTGTTGCTTTTACAAGTATTAGACCATTTCATGAAATGTTAACTTTTTTCTTGATGAAGCTATAAAAGATTGATTATAGTAACTTGTAGGTGCATTAATAAAGTGATTGGAGCAAACTAAGGACATCTATTTTAGAGTAGCACAACCTTCATTGACATCTTTTCTTCCTTACCACCAAATAAGGCAAGACCAAAAACATTTTTTCTTTGCATCCATCTTATGCTACAGACTAGACCCTAGTTACACATTGTGTCACAATTTTAACTTATCTAACCAGTTGTCTTGAACCCGTTTAATGTTTCCATATTGTGCAGTTAGTTTCCGTAAGATACCCTACAAGCTTATGAGCAACACAACATCTCTCTAAAAATCTACTTCCTTTCAACTTCTGATTCAGCTCGCAGACTTTGCAAATGTTCCAAAAAAAGCTGTTTCATCATACATGACTGAGCATTCAATACTGGAATCCGTGTCAAAATTGCTGCCTAAAAATGTTTTGCAGGATAGATTTGAAAAATGACCCTGCAAAACATTTTCCTGACCCTCACCTATTTTGATATTCTTGTCCTCAACAATCCTTGTACCTGGTTCAGCATCATCTTTGATAGCAGAAAAATTCTCATTAGATTGTTGTACTTTCTCAATAGATTGTTGTACTGAATCACTTGCCATTTCCACTTTGTTGCATGTTCTCAATTCCCTCATATTGTTATCACTGCTAGCTTTATAGTCCGACTGATTTTTACAATCCACAGGTTCATGTTCTGACTTTGCTTCAACTTGGTTGGTAGTAGTTACGTCTGCAACATCTTGTAGTAATGATTCAGTATTGGTCATTTCTTCAGGACAGATACCTACTTTGACGGATTCATCTGTTGCTTGAGTTGATTCATCACACAGTCCTGTTTCATCAGAAAAGAAAATGGATTTTAGTAAGTATTTAACAATAATAGTACACAAACAAAATACACAACAAAATTACCTTCATTTTTCATCTTCTTATGTAACCGTTTCTCAAGAAAAACTGTCCCAGGAAAGATCATGAAGTTAAACTTATTCAATCTTTGCCTTTCAACATCAGCAACGGGTTTGAATCCAAAGCCCTTTGTCCATGTCTCGACCAAATCAGGAATGGCTGATACAACAAGCCTTTCCACCTTGAAAGATGTTAACATCTGCAAATAACAGACAAATTTAGAAACACAAAAGGCCAAAATGAAGCTAAGTGTGGGAACATCTCAAATTCAAAACTATTAGAGGAAAAAGATGTCACCAAGTGGAAGTCTATAAATTTTCTAAGAATAATTATTTTACTACAATTCTTTGGACAAATACAAGAAACTACCAAATTATACCTGTTCAATAGCACTCACAAGGAGACGGCACATTCCCTGGCGACGATACTGACTGCAAGTAGCAATTAGAGGCATCTCCGCTACTGTAGTTCCATGCACCCTGTAAAGAGATGTATAAGGCTTGAGAACAATGCAATAAAACAAATATAGCATCGCGTCTAAATCAAACAAATGTAACTACAAATCAGCTGGAAGGGTTGAGCAAAGGTGAAAGATATTTAAATAAATGCCTTTACAAGTTAAAAATACCTAAAAAACATTCATTTCACATAAAGATCAGAAAAAGGATTTTAAAAAAATCAAATTCTACCATAAATTTATAAGAAAAATATCTACATTTTAACTTTTACCTGATAGATGCTACAGATATTAACACATCATGTTTCTCCAATACCATGGTGTAAAACCCTTGAAAATTCAGACGAGCAAACTCAGACCTGAAAAACATCAAATAAAAGCTCTCAAATCAAAATAAAAACAGAAGGAAAAAAATAAGGCTTTAAAAAAGAGTACAAGGGACCGGAGATTATTTAGACAGGTATAAAACTATAAAAAAGGAAGCACACAAAATGAAGGGAAGAGGCACTAACCCCCAGTTGTATAAAACTTGAGGTATCATGTGGATGCCTGTTCTTGGATCAAGCATTGACACAAAACACTCCTCCATGATAGTAAGAGCAACTGCTAACTTCGTATTGCATACTGCCTTTAGGGCAAACCACTGTGCAGAATGAACTTTTTGGTCATCATGGATGCATCTAAGAAGTGTCCATGAGATGCCATCAGCAGCTTGATTAACTAACCCCACCTGAGATTGGAGTCCAGAGTACACCTGCACAAACCAGAGTCTCGAGTGCTTGAATAAAGTGTTGGGATATTAGAATCGTTAGGTTATTCTGGTGGTGCTTCCTTGAGCTAGTTATTAACATAAATAGGATTATTAAGTCAAAATACCACAAGACATTATTGTATCAATAATATAGTGTTCATTGCCCACAGTAGAGAAAATAATAGTGTTTGTTGCCCACAAAGAAGAAATATTAACTGACACTACAGTGAAATAAGAAATTCATGTTGTTCCATTAATATATTGTGATAACAACAATTGTTAACTAAACAAGAAAAAAACAAGAATAATGCACCCTAGTCTACCATTAACCAGAGTATTTACACTGTCGATGCATAAATTGTCTCATGACGGTGGTCAAGTGGAACAAATCACAATTGAATCATTAGTTTGGGCTGCTTCGCTCTCAAGTAGAAAGAGGATAGGCCATAAGTATGAGCTATATCTTTTAGTCTAGTGATAAGAACTCAATCAAACTTAATTTAACAATTCGTATTAAATTGGGCAATTGCTCAAGGGGAGATTGTTGTAGAGTGCATCAATTGTCCCAAACAGTCAAGCCAAAACTTACTAAGCTTTAAGCTTATTACAATAAACATTTTTTAACGGTACCAGATCTGTTAACCAAGAAGTAGGTTTCTAACTAAAAGCTCCAATGGTAGCATGTGATCCCTGTAGCCAACCTCACCTAGTAAGATAAGGTTTTTGTTGTTTCCATTGCCGCATCAGATTTGTTAAACACAGTTCAAAGGCAAGAGAAAGCTGCTGTAGTGAGGTTAGACTGCAACTAGGAGAGCCATTGGGCAAGGATGATTTACTGGGTATGTCACTCAGCTCACTACTTCTACATTTCTCCCCCTTAGTGACAGAAGAGAAAAGCAGCCTTATAAAGAAGCCAAACAGAATGCTAACGCTTTGAAAACTGAAAAGCCACAGGGATCTAGACTTCCCAGATTCATATTCGAAGTGATATCATTCTATTGGATACAACTAAGCCAACAAGTCTACATTACATTACTCTGTGCCTTTGTAAAGCTGACAATTTGTTCTGCTTTTGGAGAAAAACTACAGTCATGGACGCTTCAGTGTTATATTGCTCTCGGTTATTATAACCACTAAAATTATATGGACTGAATAATTTGAATTAAATCACAATCGGCATATTAACCACCTCATCTTTTTGTTTAACAAATCACAAGCACAAACTATACTAAAGACTAAGCTTTAAATTTTTAATCTTGGACTTATTTGTCTGAAAAATGCAACTTTTAGAACTATATTTACCATTAATATAAATTTTAATATAATCATCATTTAATGTGACAAAAGTTGGCACACGTTTGGAATATAAACCAAAGTTTCAAAAGGTGTTTACATCTTCAAATTATAGATAGTAAAATGACCAACTCCCACAACAAGCCTTATCACCATGTAATATAACAAATAAATAGCCATTTCAAGCAACCCATTTCAAATGGAAGCCTAGAAATTTGAGAAATTGTAGTATAGTACCTCCTGACAACTCTGATCACAAAACCAAATGTCTGAAACTGCTCCTTGTTTTTCTCTGTCTTTCAGGCATTTCTCGTGATCTATTTAGTAGGAGATCACAATAGTCAGATGGAATCATTGAAGCATTACATAGGGAAAAATGTGCACAGATTTCAGATCAAAGAAATTTTCGTTCATGATCATTAAGCAATGGCTTGTTATAATAAATATGAAGGGCAGGAGATCATGAAGCTCCAACTATTGTGGCATTTAAGGAGACTCCGATGTAGTCATGACAACAATCAAACGAACAAATCATCTAGCCATTAAACAAATTACAGTATTGCAATTATTCAAAGAACAAACTTTATATGGTATGACTCAACTTGTCTATCTACACTCTACAGGATCTACAAAAATATTTAAACCAACATTGGTAATGTCATAATGCAACAAGATCAAACATGGCATACTTACATTTATGTTCACACTGTGAACATTGTAATGAATCATGCAGATCTGAAGTGTCTTTATCAATAACCAAATATCCACATATCCTACAAGTGCAGTTTGCACAGTACCAATCACCATCTGGGATCTCCTGATATACAGAGGAAAAAAGATTGTATTATTCTTCCAAGGTAGGGTAAGAAAACCCTAATAATAAACACATTTTGAATAATACAAAGTACCTTATTTATTTCCAAATGCATTCAAATTAAAAGAGCAAGAATAAAGGAGCAACATAAATAAACATGTGTAAACACTAACAACACACTGACGCAAAGCGACTCACTAATACAATCAATATATTCTAATATATAAAACCTCAACCACGAGTATTGGAGTTGACATGTTAGCATGTAAATTTTCTATTATTAAGCCACAGTAATTTCTTATATTTTCTCATTTCTCTAGCTACAATGGAATCATTATAACTTTAATGTTAAGCATGTGAATGGGATGTACTAATACATCTTAATAATAAATAATTATCTAATAAATGGGTTTCTCTTGAAATGGTTAATGAACCATTTTTTACAAACCTTTCGCAATTGCTACCATGCTTCTCCAAATTCTTCGAAAAGTTACAAAAGATTCTAGACATACTATTTGTTACTAATGGATTTACAGACAATAAAGGAGTAGTATTTTTTTAGGCTGTTGTTAAGTAATGTCCACATGAGTCTCCACAACTATTAAGGAGCTAACAAGTATAACACAATCAACAAAGCTTATTTGAAATTGTTTCTTTTTTATAGCATTTACACATTTATTTTCAGTCTATTAATAATGAATATATTTTGATATGCTACCATATCAACAATTCAGTTGACATTGCTTGTAATGTCAACATTTTTGCTACGAATCTAATAATTTCTTAACAATCTTATCTCATTACTCAACCAAAATCACATCTTTTTTGCAATTTTTATCTCATCTAAATCGCTTATAGTTGTTTTATACTTCAATAAAAATATTACTAAATGGTTTAATACACATTTAAAGATAAGATAACTTCTACTATTTATGGCACTGGTGCAATGCACAGGTGTATATCTAGCTTCTATAAAGTAAGAGGAATATACTCGCTGAACCTCTTCATCAAACCACAGCTAAACTAAACACAAAGTTCGTTAATTTTTTGCTATTGTGCTATAAAAGCAATTAAATTACGGTGGACAGCCATGATCATTTATTCATGTTCACCGAAGTGAACTAACACACTTTAAAATCGTATGCTATATTACATGTTTATGCTATATATATAGGAATGACATAAGAGCCTGTTATATCAACCACTTAATAGTAATAGCATGTTTTGATTCTCAAAACAAATTAAAAGAAAGAAACTAGCATACCTGAGTGGACAAACAAGCTAGGTGAAAAGTAGATGGACAGTTATCACAACATATCAGCTCACCCCCTTCACCACACAACCCGCACGAATCATCATTTTTGTCATTATCATCAGCATGCACAGCTTGATTTAGACTTTTCCTGGCTTTGTATTCAGCTGACCAAGCTTGAAGGAGGCACAATGTAAAGGGCTCACCAGACTCCATAAAAATATTCATGCAGGGGCGATTGAATGTAAACCCAGCATGCAACTTGAACTCTGATAATGTAAGCACCTTACCACAACATGTACAAATAATACCATCTTTGGTGATCCTACCATCCTTAATCACAACGTTATCCTTAGCATTTCGGTATTGGATCACATCATTTAAAGATATGACCCCATTATCAATCAACCAGGACAATATTGTCCTTGCACCCAAATAAAACCTATGACAATCCTTATTGTACTTCCCTCCATTACAGGGGTTCCTTGGCAGCAACCTGCAACGACCCTTCTGGCTTTTAAGCTTTCTCTGGCCCCTTGATTTGCAGGATTTAGCACTAGAATTACCCCAGATTGCCTTAGGCCCAAAGTCCTTATTCCTGAATATTGCAGACACCAATAAATCATCATCTTTGATCTGGCAACTGTTTGACCTATCCGTTCCAGTTATGGAGTAGTTTGTTTTCCTGATATTTCTCTGTACTGCACTGATAGATGGTAACTTTCTGCTGCTTCTTTTCTTTCCCGCATTGTCAACTAGATAATTCTGGACCTCTTCCAAACCACATGCTTCACCATCTAGTGACTGCACCTGGTCAGTAACAGTTGAGCCCGGCGTGTCACCATGGTAGAACATACTCAGTTTAATTTCAGATACCCTTTTGCATTTTCGTCGCATTTTCTTTCTAAGAGTAACATTGAAAGCAGAATATGTGTTATCTTTCTCAAATGCAGAATCTACTAAGATTTTCCCACCCTCTTCCTCACTACATTCTGACTGTTGCATAGCCCTTGAGTCATGAGAATGAACCAGGCCATAGCTCACACCAGATGCATTATTTTCTTCTGACATGTCCATTGGCACATCTCCATCGATAAATTTAGTTGTTCCCAGATAGTTTTCTGAGCTATGCTTTTTAAGACCACTGTAATTTCTAATTTTGGCTTGATGAACAGCATTTACATTAGACCCTCCAGGTACCTGATTCAAGTTTCTGGAGCTTGAATCAATGGAAGCACATGCCATCTTATACTTACTAGAAACTAAACTCCAAGTTGCTTTCACTACCTCTCCCTTTTTCAGGGCACCAATCTTTCTATCAACAAATATAACCACTACAAAAGGATCCAAAAGCCACCATCGATACGCTAAAATAGCAGCAGGGTCTTCCGACTGTATCTTTGTTTTTTCAACATTTATCAGTGCACTAGATAGATCAGACCAGAATTGACTAATATCAGTCCACTCCTTACAAGCTCTGCACACTAAATTGCATTTTTCAACAGACAATAGCTCACCACATATTCTCCAAGCCTTTGTAAATTCCCGAATAGGCTTTCCCTCTGGTGTCCTATAAACTGACTCTGGATAACGCCTACTTGGCCGTTGACGCTTCTCAATAGACCATCCTGCCAGCGTAAGCAACTGAACAATTTGAAATTGCAGTATAGTACGAGGGTCCTCTTCCTGTTTTGAGATGTCCACATTAGTAGATTCCGGCATTTCCTCAGGATTTAAAGGAGACCCGGACTTCTTTACAACAGTGATTGATGGGCTTGTAACTACAAGCCTGCTCGCAAAGCTTTCCTGTGAAACAGGAGAAGCAGCTGCTTTACTTACAGACATTTCTTTTGCAATAGTTCCATCTGCTGTTGTGTTAAAATTTGTAACATTTACATCCTCCTTAACAGCTTGTTTATTTAACTTGTTATGGTTCAATAGATAACAGCTAGATATCACACCATGTTTGGATGATTCAACCAAACGAAATGCAATTGGTTCACTATCACAGCCTGTAGCAGCACAAGACAGGTTAGAAACTGCTACTTTTGAAAGTTGTGATGAACTCAAGTTTTTTTCTGAATCAGATCGGCTACAAGCAAGTTCATGCAGAGAAAATTTCATCCGTTTGACATTCACATCCTCGTCATTCTGGTCTTCACAAATGAAACTCTCTGGCACATATCCTGTAGCAGCCTCTTTGGAAGGCTTAATTACATTAAAGTTCTCCTCTTCAGGGTGTGAAAGTCTAGACGCCAAGGGATGCAATGCAACTGAGTTTTCATTACTAGAGCAGAATGATTTAAATGTCTTTTTGGCAGATTCATGTTCAAAGCTGACAGCACCAGGAACACTACACTTAAGACTAGACTGGAAAATGTCATTACCAGAAAAGACCTCTGAAAAAATCTGTCTTTCTTCGTTAGATCCTTCAAAGTTATCATCAAATAAATCCTCTACTTCGTTGCTGATGAACATTTCTGCTTACAAATGAGGGCTCACTATGCTAATTCTGTTGCTGATCTACATGTTGGCACCATTACAAAAAGCTAGTTTGCCATATCGTAAACCAACATATGAAGAAAGCCTTTCTTCAGCCATAAATTACTGGTTGACATACTTCATCACTTTTGACTCCAATTAGTTAAAATAACTCATGGTAAAGGCTTTTAGAATCTGCAGAAGAATTGAGATGTTACTAAAGTATCTTTGAAATTATAAGATTCAAATCAAGCTCTAACTTCTTAATTAATATTCGAATGAAAAAAATTGCAAGAACAACCAAAAAATCATCAAAGTATCATTTTTCATTTATTGGTATCATTTTCCCTCACAGAGTCACGGTTGCATTAGATACAAAAATGAATCTAAATAGGGTGAAAGATTATCAGACAACAATAACTCAATCGATTTTGCACCCATGAGCATCAATCACAAGGATGGATTAAAAGATTCTTTATCTGTCTTCACTAAAAATCTGAATATCTTACTATCTCATATCATTAATAAAAAAACATAGAGTAAAACAAGGTGTGGGTAGACCGTATTTATAGACAAACAAGAAGCCACAAAAATAATTAAAACATTTAAACATCTAAATAAGGAAGTTGTTACTTTTGGAATAAGTTAACTTCCATCTTTTCTACTAGAAATGGAAATTATAATTACTCTTTTGGATGCATCAGCATGCATTGCCTAACTGTCAAAGGCGACCAAGCAAAGCAATAACAACATCAATTGTTTGCCCACAATTACATGTGTCCTTCATTATTTATCCATGGCATACGGGATCAGAATATATTGTTTTACAAGCAACAGATTCTTCTAGAGAAATATTCTCCTCGGACAAAAAACAGCATCTAGCATCAAACCAAGGGGTAGGGAATCAGAATTCAGAAATATATACTATTCATGCAACAATTATTTTCAACAGAGGGAGTCTCATGTCTTCCAGTGCCGTTTGCAGATCTAGTATTAGTGCTATAGTGAGTAGTACTCTTCAAAATTACTAACTAAAAAAGCCTCATTACAAACTTCTTCAAAATATTGATCACGTTTTCCTTGTTAAAAGTGATAGGGAATGGTGTTTAAAAAGATGACTAAATAATGTTTTCTACTATTAGCATAACAATATTAGCAACTTCTGCAAATGTTTCCTAATAAGCATCAGATTCACAAAACACATGAACAAATGCAAACGCAAAGGTTGGCTTGAATCAAAATGCATATGCAAAATCTTCCGTAGTTTACGGCTTGCACAGACACAACTTGTTTTTCAAAATAGAACGGATTGGGAAACTAAAAGTTGTCAAACTTCAAAAGGAAAAATTTTAAGAACATTAGGTAAGAAACCAAATTTTAATCAAATTATCATTTAATACATGCAAACCTTGTACGCTTTTAATTATTTAAAAAAAATCAGTAGATATTTATGCTTTCAATCTAATAAATATTCTCGTTTTCATTAAATACTTAACATTCCCTTCCACTAACACAGCAAACACATTAATTAAACAACAAATCACTTGAAAAAGATGGAGAACGCAGACTTCCGCAACCAAAGCGAAGCATAAAATCCACATGCATGAATTCAGAACCAGCATTGGGGCATGGAACAAACATCAGGTCCAGAAATGGATGACAAATAAGAAAATCCAGAGCAAAAACCCTCATTTTTAACACAGATCACAACCTACCCTACCCATCTCAGATTCTCAAGAAAGAAATTCGCAACCTATCATCAGAAACCACAAAACAAACAAACGTTCTAACAAACAGACACGACCCAGAAACTCTTAGAAGGGTAACAATGCCCAGAGCCACCCACCAGAATGGCGCAATCTCACCCAGAATTAGGGTTCCTTAAAATCGCAGAAAACACGAATTGAAATCTTCCCTCACTTCATTCCTCATCTTCAACCCCAGCAGAAGGAAAACGAGCTTCGGGAAAGCCAACAATGCTACCTCACACCAGGTGGCAAACACAAAGGAACAGAACTTTCTCTCTCTAGAACTGTTTTTCTCTCTCTAGGAGCATCTACCATAGCATGTGAGTGTTGTATCTATGTCATGGACTACTTACATGTACAGTTGTACCCTCTTTCATTTCCACTAGGCCTTGTCCATTTGTGCCTTTTTTTAAACCCCTTTTGAATGAAGCACCTACGCTCCCACTCTGATTCACTTCCTCTCTAAGCAAATGCCAAAATGGGCCCCCATTTAAGCTTTTTTTTTTTTCCTAAACACAATTCCATTCAAGATATATACTTTGGAGTTAATAGATTAAAAATAATAATAAAATAGAACAAGATTCAAGTGAAAATAGTTCTCTTAGATAGCATTTTAAGGTTTTTGAGATTTTAATTTGAATTTGTAATTCTTGACAAATATTATTGGTATATTGTGTTTCATCTCTTCAGATTATCAGTAACAAGAAACCAATTTTATAAATTCAACATGTCATTAATAAATATCTTTAAATCATTGGAAAAAAATATATTTAAGATACCCTTTTTCAAAGATTCAAACTTTATAGTTCATTCAACATGTGTAAGATTATCATCTTCCTCTACACATGCCAATCTCCACCCAACAAAAGCAACTATTGATAGCACAAGGGAACTATTATGGCTCTGTTCATTCTTCTTTCTCTTTATGGCAGCATATTTTGTTTTATGCAATGTGTTGAAGGTACTTGTCTTAAGGAAGGGACACAGAGTTACTCTCACCAATTCGGTTAGGGAGGGCCTAGAAGATTTTTGTGACTAGATATGATATGACTAATTCAAGCCATGTTTTATTATTATTATTATTATTATTATTATTATTATTATTATTATTATTATTATTATTATTATTATTATTATTATTTTACCCACTGTATTATTCCATGGCTCCATCAGAACACAAGCATGCACGTGTGTCACTTCTCATCAAGTTCTTTGAGAGGCACGTATTAGGGAAGAAAGTACCCACTTCTCCTTTAGTTTTTTTGTTTTTCTTTTTTAACATGATTTATTGGTTAACATCATGCTTAGAAACTTTCATGTGAGATTCTGATTTTAGATTACGTGTCTAGTTATTGTTAATTTGTATATCTGTGAATTAATTAATGCCAAGTTGAAAATGGAAGTTGTGTCTAAAGCAATGGTGATATAAAAATATGAAGATTAATACACTTTATCTGTGAATTTTGGCATTTATGAATAATTTATTGTGAAGAAGAGAAGATAAGGAGGAGTTTGTGTGGTACAAACAAAAGCAGGGCTCTAATGATTTTACTTGTTGAGTTGGAAGAAAGTGATGAGACCATTATATTATAGATTTTAATTTTTAAAATTTTTGAAACATCATTGGTATTATTATTCAATATTAATTTAGTGTAATTTAAACAATAATAAATATTACTAACCTTCATATAACTAATCCGTTTTAAAAAAAGTAATAATAATTAACTGTGAAGATAAATATGACTTAATTATATTAAAAAACATTTGTTATCATTCTGTCATTGCATTTATTGTTATTTTAATGATGTTTTTTTGGACCAGACTACTAGAGAAGTAGTTTTCCAAATTTGGAAATTTCACATATCATAATTATGGAATTGACATTGAAGGAATGTTTCAAAATTTATATGTATCATTTATTCATGCTTAGTCAATAATTTGTTGTTAGTGGAAATAACAATTTGGAGGTAGTTGTGTTCACTGTTCAGGGTTTTCAAATTGTCCAGGGGTGTTCAACCTTATCCATGATATATATATATATATATATATATATATATATATATATATATATATATATAATTGTAAATTGATTTAAAATTTTGAAAACGATCACAGTTAAAATATTTTTGTATCTTTTAAATTATGATTATGTTTATAATAATACAGTTTGATTTGAATTTTAGATCATAAGTTAATAATAAAAGAGAACAAAGTCACTTATAATACTTAGATGATTTATAATTTATTTATATTGTATTTACCATATATTTATATTTATTAGAAATATGATATAAATTTTTAATTATAAAACTATGTAATTTATTTATAACTTCAAAAATTTTTAAATTATGAATAAAACAATTATTATTTAATTTTTTTACAATATATCTCTTGATTTAAAGAAAATTCTTTATAAAAATTTAATAACTTCTAAAAGAATGTTTTATTATGTTTTTATTATAATAAAAGCTAAAAATCATTCAAAGTCAATATTAAATTGATTTAGTTTATACTTTATTTATGTTTGATTTGGATAATTATTTAATAAAAAATTAAAATAAATTGAAGAATTGATAAGATGTGTTTGATGAGGTGACTTATTATTTGAAGTAGTTTTTTTATTGCAAAATCTTAGTGATGAAAAATTTAATAAACAAACACATAAGCTGCTTTTCTTAAGTAACGTTTATTTATGAATAAAAAGAATTAACTGGAGTAAATTTGTATAAAAGAAGAAAATATAAGTTTATTCTTAATTGTTTAAAAACAAATATATTATTATGTATTTTTAATTATTTAATTAACTAATTTATAGTAGTAAATATTACTCTCTTCTATCTTTTTATAAGACATGATTTGAAAAGTACAATGGTACTTCATAAAAGGTATTTTACAGTTTTAGTAAATATAATTTTTTTATATATTTTTTTTTATTAAAGACATGATTATGTGCATTGTTACTGGTTGATTTAATAATGATTAACAAATATAGAAACAAAATATTAGTAAACAAAATTAAATAACATTAATTTTTTTTAGCCTCTATGATATTTTTCAAAATGTTTTAAAATAAAAACAAATTATATATTATATTTAAGTTTAAATAAAATAATAAATTGTTTAATTATAAAAATATCTTTTGAATAAATAAAATAATATGTGAATTACTTAATTATTATATGATACGATAATATTCATATTTTACCATTTTTCAATACAAAAATAATGTGAGATGTATGAATAAGTTAT